CCATGATTCGACATCTGTACCCCACTGCATCTATGCCCAACCTTTACTATATTTTTCCATTCTTTTCTTTTCTATTAATCATATTCCCTATAATTTAATCCAAATCAGTCCTCTCCTTTTCATGTTAAACTGTTAAAGTTCTTCCTATTTCTTAGGGGATTAAGCAAGTAGATTTTAATTGGGATTGACGTGTTAGGCTAACCGCAACCCATACCCGTCAATAAATCAAATTCCCCACTAATTTATACGTATTAACTCAATCAATTCAGTTTTTGCTGCAATCCAACACCGTCAATATATTCGCCCAGCAAAAGTTTTTTTAGTTAAAGTGTTGTTTTTATCATTATACATCCGTTATTTTTTTTAAAATACTGGAATAGTAATGATTTAAAAAAATTAAACATTTGATATAAAAATAAATAAATTTGGAATTTAAATTTTTTTTGTGCTATTTCATACCCAGTTTTTGGAAAAAATAAGTGAAAGATGCAAAAAAAGAATTGATCATAAAATCTTAATTTTAGCACTTGAATCTATTTAAAAAAGTTTTTGGATGTGAAAAATCCTCAACAGTTAAAACTTCATATATTTTTTAAAAAAAATTCATATGCAATATTGATGTCATTTGAAAGAAAATAAAAAATTACAAATTTCAACATATCTTTTATAAGAATTGGAATAAAAAATAAAAAAGATATACCCATTTAAATAAAAATGGGATGTAACTTTTGCTTGGACCACATCAATATTGCTGCTGCCAGCTCCGTCCTTACCTTCTCTTGCTTCTGTCAATAAGCAGGCCAATTCCCACTCACGGAGTTCCTTTAAGTCTTTAACCCACTTTGGCCTCCCAAAATACATTGGGTTGGAGCTGATTTTAGGGTGAATAATTCAAATATAACCTATTGACTCCCGGGTTGCAATCAGCATTATGTGTGTGTATTAAACCCGCTGACTCAATCCGCAAAGAAAGAAATATTAAAATGTGCTAGTGTACTTTTTCGCAAAGGGGAAATTAATTTGGATGGTCACTTAACTTTGAGTAAGTTTCAAATTGGTCACTCAACTTTAAATTGATCCATTTCAATCATTTAATTTTAATTTGATTACAAATTCATCATTCCGGCATGTTATGTTGCCGGAAAACATCAGTCTAGAAGCTGTTCTCTTCGCCTGATCTGAATGTTTCTGATCTGAATTTTTTAAGTTCTGATCTGATCTGATCTGAATTTTTCTGATCAGATCTGATCTGATCTGAATCTTTCTGATCTGATCTGATCTGATCTGAATGTTTCTGATCTGATCTGATCTGATCTGAATCTTTCTGATCTGATCTGAATGTTTCTGATCTGGTCTGATCTGATCTGAATGTTTCTGATCTGATCTGAATCCTTCTGATCTGATCTGAATCTTTCTGATCTGATCTGAATGTTTCTGATCTGGTCTGATCTGATCTGAATGTTTCTGATCTGATCTGAATCCTTCTGATCTGATCTGAATCTTTCTGATCTGATCTGATTTGAATATTTCTATAATTATAATTATAATTATTATAATTCCAATTACAAATATAATTTAAATAAAATTATAATTATAATCGTAACTATAAAAATAATAATACTCCGTAATAATAATAATAATTAAAATTAAATTTAAAATGAAAAAATTTATACTTATTACACTAATTATAAATATAGACATAATTATAATTGTAATTATATTTTTAATTATAATTACTTATATAATTATATTTGTAATTATAATTACAATATTTATCTCTATAATTGTAAGTATAATTATAATTATTATAATTATAATTAATAATAATTATAATTATATTAACATTAATTATAATATTATAATATAATAATAGTAATATAAATACAATTAATATTATAATAATGATATTATTATATTCATATTATTATTACAATAATATAATAATAATATGATTATTATTATTATAATTAGTTCTATATATTATAATATTATATTATAATTATAATGATAATGATAATGATAATGATAATGATAATGATAATGATGATGATGATGATGGTGATGATGATAATAATAATAGTCTTCTTAATAATTACATTTATATTACTATTATTATATTAAAATATTATAACTATTATTAATATCTTATTTTTGTTATCATATTATTATTAATATTATTAATAATAATTATATAATAATAATCATAATTGTAATAACAATATTAATAATAATAATTAATATAATAATAAAAGTGATAAATCATGTTTGAACTTTTCTGATCTGATCTGATCTGAATGTTTCTGATCTGATCTGAATGTTTCTGATCTGATCTGATCTGAATCTTTCTGATCTGATCTGATCTGATCTGAATCTTTCTGATCTGATCTGATCTGAATCTTTTTGATCTGATCTGATCTGATCTGAATTTTTCTGATCTGATCTGATCTGATCTGAATAAAATAAGAATAAGCAATAAGTAATAAGAATAAGAGGAACAGAACAGCACCTAAGAGCCCCAAATTCTTCCACCTCTAGAAGCCATCTTCTCCTGGCTCTCCTTCCCCTTTTTCTCTCCTCAAATCCAGCCTTCGTCTCTCTAAGAGTAGGTGTGGGATTTGTTCAAGGACGGTGAAGTCTGGGCAAGGGACGGTCATATTCATGATGGAATGCTCTCATAGCTTTCACTTCCCCTGCGTTGCTGCACATGTGAAGAAACAAGGTAGCCTCATTGCCCCATTTGCTGCTCAACATGGAAAGAGCTGCCAGTTGTCTCTATACGATGAGGAGATATGAAAGACATGAAAGACATGAAATATTTCTCTATCCTAGCTACCCATCGTCCTCCATGATTACTAGGCTACAACTCTGGCCGGGTCTCCGTCACGTCTCCAGATTGTCAACGGGTCATTCCTTTCATCCTCAAAGGAGGTAAACTCTGCCCTCTGTCTCCGGCATGAATACGAAGAAGACGATCGACGACGTATTTGGTTTAGTCTAGGTCTGCTTTTATTTGGCCAGACACTAACTATGCCCTAAACCTTCATCATTATAATACTGGAGTAATTCCCAAGCTAATCTGCTTCCGATTTGAGAATACCGAGGAAGAAAAAGTTGGAGCTGACAATAATGGTGTTGCAGGCACGATGGAGCTTGAGGACCGGATGAATATTGGATGAGATGGTTTTATTAGAATTATACGGAGTAATAAATTGAAAGATAAAACACACTTAATCGAGCAATCACTATTCCGGCAAGTAATATGCCGGATATGATTAATCTGCAATCAAAGGTATAGTTAAATGATCTAAATGAATCAAATTAAAGTTATGTGACCAAATTGAAACTTATTTAGCAGTAAAGTGATCATCCAAGTTAATTTCCCTCTACTAATCGCTAAAAGCAAACAACTAAATTACCAAACATATTTTTGTAACCCGTCAAACTAATACGCCGGTTAAACCCGCTGACTCAATCCGCTGTTTAAAACTTGTTAACTCAATCCGCCAACCGCCAACCGCTGATTATCAAACAAGCTCAGAGTTGTTAAAATGTTGTCCGTTGATGATATTCTTTCGTGAGTCGTGACATTCTTGAACATCGCTTGTGATATATTTTATATAAATAGATGCACTATCTCTTCTCGATCTATGCAACAAAAAGGGAAAGTTCCCGAAATGGGACTAAAAAAGTTTGAAAATTCCAAAATAGGACTGTCATGTTTTTATTCCCAAAATAGGACTAATTATTGTCAAATTTGGAAAATACTGACATGTTTGAAGTCTGGTATTGTCAAAACATGACAGTAATTACTTCTATTTTTGGAATAAAAACATGGAAGTCCTATTTTGGAATTTCCAAACTTTTTTAGTCCTATTTTGGGTAATATCTCCAACAAAAACTGTGGAGTAGTATTCTAGAAGGTTTTTGGATCTGATTCTTAAAATTGTTTCTGCTTCTTGAAGGAGACCAGCTTCTGAAAACTGATTCTAATTCTACTTCTGCTTCAAAAAAGAAGTAGAAACAGAATCGGTGAATTGGTGAATTTAATTTACCATTGTCTCAAATAGTAAATCGGTGAATTTTCCTATTAGACACGTAGTACGTAGTTTCGTATATGTTAATTTTAAACAATTGATAAGTTTGATGTTCATGACAAAAACATCAACTAGCTAATACGGAGTAGTTATTAATTCTTTTTTCTACCTTAGAATGTTTCAACCTGTATTTACTTTTATAGATTTATATAAAACAGTAAAATTAATTTTGAAAGTTTAGTACAAAGTGTGTGAATACTCCGTCCGTTTGAAAAAGGTTCATCAGGACTTTTCTCAGTCAATAGTACTTAACTTTGACAAGTGATATTTTTAATACGAAATTATTTTGAGTATGAGAGTTATATTAAAATGTTCCTTATTTAAAATATTTTCGTAAAAGTATAAATTTATAAATTATATACAAATATAATATTAAGGGAAAAGGTGAAAATAAGTTCATGTACTAACCAAAAAGGTAAAATAAGCCCTTATTTAGGAGGCTCTGTCTGACTGTCACCATTTGGGGTGGTTCCCGGTAGAATTTTTTGATGAATTTTTTTTAGCATCGTATTCATGAGTCTAGTTTACTCATACCAAATTTCAGCTAAAACTTCAATCGGGAAGGCATTCAAACGAATTCTTGAAGATAACTGCGCCGTTAAAAGCGCCGTTAACAGAGCCTCCTAAATAAGGGCTTATTTGACCTTTTTTTGTTAGTATTAGTACATGGACCTATTTGCACCTTTTCCCTAATATTAATATTGGTATCTAAAGTTTGACATCATTGACTAAAAAAGTCAATATAGCGAACCTTTTCGAGACGGGGAAGTATATATGAAGTACAAACATGTAAAAAATAAAAATATATTATGTACTAGCTATATATGATACGGAGTATAAAATTTTGGAGATCACGTCTTTAATATCCCCTAATTAAATGAATGTACACAAAGGTAGAAGACATACCTGATCAATTATAGGAAAGTATCCTCCAACATCAGCTTGAATTGTACCATCATCAAGTATTCCACCCTCTCCTCCCACACCAACAGGAATATCATCGCGGTCCATCATATATAGAATATCATATATATGATTCACAGAATGACCAGAATTGCCAAACCCGTTGGAGTTAACAGTTATTCCCTGCATGCACTCAACAATACATTTTTTTCAAATCATTATTTAAGGTTTAGCATCTATATAACCATATATCCAAAATAATAGTTGTTAAGAATAAAATAAACGCGTACTTTTTAGAAAACAAAATGCACACATTCCATTTTGTACTAATTTTGGATACAGTTCAAGACTTCATCAAGTCGATTCCTCGTTGGCTCTCAAGTGTCTTTTTAAGATAAATAAACTTAAATAAATAATAACTAAATCATAAGTACACTACTAAATATAAATAGCTCTATATTCATAAGTCAAATATGAACATACTAAAAGTAAATATTTAAAGATCGATGGTGAGGTAAGTTTGCGATGAAAATAATTGTGATTTTTTTAATTATGTTGCATGAGTCAAGTATCTTGTGATTCATTGGCATCATTGTGCTATTCCCAATGAAGAGGTCGTTGAAATTATTTAAACATCCGGGCTGTGAAATTAAATTATCGGTGAAGTTTTGTAATGTTAAGGTAAATAGTAATGCTTAATTAGAATTCCAAACACATACACAATGTGATGTGTATATCGAAGAAATAATTTTGGGATGACTTTATTTTAAGAACAGATAAATAAATATGTCAAATATTTTTTAAAGTTGAGGTTGCTGTTTTATTAGACTGAAACTTTCAAAAGTTTAAATAAAAAAGTATTTAGAGTACAATATTACTTCCTCCGTTCCTTTTTAATTGCAACAGTCAACATTTCACGTTTGCCAACGTACAAGTTTGACCATTAATATCTTTCAATCCTTATTATTAAAAAATTTCAAAAAATTATATTTTGAAAATTTAGAATGAGAAGAATTTAACAATATTTTTTAAAAATTAAATTCGTAATACATTAATAAATAAACTATTATCAAAGTAGAATGTGTGAATAGTGCAAAAAGTCTTACGTTGCAATTAAAAGAGAATGGATGTAGTATTATATACTAGTACATAGTAATTATAAATAAAAAGTCACCTAGAAATCAGGTTTTCATGAATCGCCTGGGGTTTATTGGTCCCGGATTGACCAAACATTCTTTGCAGTTGTCACCCGTTTTAACTGAGTCACTTTTTAGTCCGGATCTCCCATTTTCGGACAAAGGCCGCAGAATTGGTAATTCTGCTACCCATAATCATCCAAAAAGTAAAAATGGACAACTGAAAGCAAGTAAATTTCTTACTTCCACAAGGACACCTATTATATATCGTCTTCCCTTCTTTAATTATGTGTTTTCAATATGAGATTAAACCAGATCAGACTTAAACAGATCAGATCAGATCAGACCGGACCAGACTTAAGCAGGCCAAACCAGACCTGAACAAATCAGACCAGACTAGACTTCCACAGTTCTAAAATAAAAAGAGGTAAGACATGTACCAAACAAGACCAGAGCAGTTAGACCAGACCGGACTTAAACATACGGAACCAGACCGGATTTAAGCAGAACAGATCATCAAATTACAGTATAAGTAAAAACATCCTTAGTCACATAGCAATAAACATTATAAAAAGATGATATTTTGGAAATACACATTAATAGAAATTTAGTACTTGTAACATGTATACATAATTATTCTATTATACTCCAAATTAAAAATCCAAAATTCCAAAATGTGTGTGAATAGTGAAAAAATCCAAAATTCCCCTCCCAAAAGAAGTATCTAGTGACTAAGAAATCAAGAAATGTTTTTCAAAAATATTTTTTATATCAGCTCAGTGCCTTGACTCGATCTCTTCTCCGACCAGTCTCCGGCAGACCTCCGCAATTCAGACACGAAAAATGACACCCAACCATTTTCTGATAGCTAGCTAGCTAGAAACCTAACTAGTCACTAGCGCGCGCCTAGAGTTTTGGAGGAAAACAGCGGAAACTTTCAATGGAAAATTTTAAAACTTTTGAAAATAAAGTTGCTTGATGATGAGAACATACTTCACCACTTTTTCCTTTAGTTAAAGTTTTGTCATGACGTCATGTGTGAATATATATATCTCATCTATCAAAAATAATCTTGTCCCAACGTTCGGACCGGATCCTCCGTCCGAACATCCCCGTTTGGGGCCCTTCCCGGTGACATTTTTTGATGAAATTTTTTGAGCATGTTTCTCATCAAGTCTAGTTTGTCCATACCAAATTTCAGCTCAAAATTCAATCGGGAATGCATTCAAATCATTTTTTGAAGTTGACTGCGTTTTTATATGTATATTTTGACGCAGTCAACTTCAAAAAATCATTTGAATGCCTTCCTGATTGAATTTTGAGCTGAAATTTGGTATGGACAAACTAGACTTGATGAGGAACATGCTCAAAAAATGTCACCAAAAAATTCCACCGGAAAGAGCCCCAAACGTCCATGTTCGGACGGTGTTCGGACCAAGAATGTTCAATTCGGACCTGAACATTCCTCTCTCATCTATATTATATACCCATGATTAAGCTGCGCCGCTGCTATAACTAGAACTTTGAAATTAATTTAATATACAACGTAACCCGCACGGATGACTCAATTGGTAAAGCGGTGGAAAAGTTGGACAAATGACCAATTAAGGATAGAAACTTGTGTGGAGGTCACAACTCCTATGTGTTGGGCTAGGCCTCTGGTACGCACAGGCATAATTTAAGGTGTGTCACCACTACGATTAGTTGAGTTACCGTGATTTACAACCTCTCAAGTCTCTGTCGAGTCGGGTGTGAGAGGCCTTTGAAGTTAGGGATTCAATCTTTTGGATAAATTGAAATTAATTTGCGGTGAAAACTAGTCTATTAAAATAGTTACTTGGATATGATATGGACTACATCATATCCTTCGTGCATATCTTTTCCTAATTCGTAATTTTTATCGGCAAGTTATAGTTGCATGCACTAATTAAAAGCCTACTTAAGAGTATTTGTCCTGGAAAGCTATAAAGCAATAAAATATTATACGGAGTATAAGACTTTGGACTACTTTTAGGTAGTTTCTATGGTACCCATAAGGTATCATACCTTTGTCCACATGGACCAATCACGATGTTGCAGTTGAATTATTTAAATCCAAATTAAAAAAGATATAATGATTTGTACCAATCATGTACGGTACCTCATTTTTTAAATGGGTACTGGAGTTGTCACCCTTCTTTTATCACCTTTTAGATGGAATTACCTTTTAGGATGAAACTTCATGTCTTAATACTAAATGTTAGGAGGCAGTCTATGGATTCTCATCGTAAATAATGGTCAAAGGATCGGACATGGACGTACTTCCAACAAAGTAGAGGACAAATGTTCGAAATTTATTCTAGTTGATCATGAGTATAAATAAAAGGTTGATATCAATATTCAATATATCACTGTTGAAAAGACACCATGGCACCATGCATAGATTAAAATGGTTGGGAAAGAAAAAAAATGTCTACCTTAATATCAAATTGTGATCTGTTTAGCTTCAAAAGATACAAGAGGGCAAAGATATCATCAGTGTCCATGTCTGTGTCCAATAGAATCCGGTAAGGCATGTCCTCCGCGTAGCAGCCGGGACCGACCAACACAGTCCCGACCGCCACTGCTACAACCACCGACACAAATCCGGCCTCCACCACCGATTTGTTGGCAGCCTTCTCCTTTCTGATCATATTCTAAAAAAACAAACAAGTGGTATGACAAACTAATTTTGTAGCTAGGTGCGTGCCAAAAATTATACGACAAATGTGTGTTGACTATTATAGAAATGCAAAGAGAATGACTTACTGGAGTGAATGCACTGACAAATAGAGTTACTATATATAGAAGGGAAATTTTTCTATGAATGAGTGAATCAATGTAAAATTAAAAAAAAATAGGTGTAATCATCCTGTAATCATTATTCATTATGTTATTCATGTCATAGTTGGAAGTACTTTTTGACCCTAATTAATCATATTTAAGAAAATATTCTTATTTTAAAATTTCATATTTTTTACTCCGGGTAATTTCTACTTTGAATGAGAGCATCTCCAATGTGTTAGAGCGGGAGGATAAAAATGCTAAAATATAAGGGTGTGAAATATGGCTGAACCGGATATCACTTCTAGTCACGTATAAAATACGCTTTCCTAAAGTTTACTATCTACCCTTATCACAGTAACCAGGTTACAAGATAGAACTTTTGGGATAAAAAGAATGTGTGTGGTGTAATTTAGATACTAACAAAATAACACCGAACAAGTAATTTGTATATAAAGTAGTCTAAGTACTTTATTTTATTACTGCAGTTAATAAAATAAAGTAAGGCAAGATAGTAAGAATGAAGTATCGATCAGTCAACTCAATTCTATTGTGTTCAATTATACTTATAGACAACCGAATGTCTACAAAGATACATTCGAACCAAGCTTTACAACTTTTCCATTGTTGTGATGAATTCCCCGTGGATGTTCCTCATAATAGCGCCTCCTGAGCTGCGGGTGTCCTTGTGTGCTGCATCAACATTCAGGCAAAGCTTGTGTGAAGAGGTATAATTCCATTTTATTGCTGTCTGCGGTGTGTAAGACTTAATGTGGGGCATCAAACCGTCTAAAAATAGTTCGCTCTCAAATTTCATGAATTTTTTCCCAATATTGTTGTAGCACCATTCATGGATGGTTTGTTGTCCCAGAACAGTGAGTTGTAACCTTTCCAAGCATGCCACATTATAACCCCGGGTAGAATGTTCCTTAGGATTCCGGAGATAGTAGCTGAATTGCCTCCAAGCCCCATTTAAGGACAACCTGTCGTAGATCTTCCCTGTCAATTGCTCCAACCTGCATAATATTAGATAAATAATACCATATAGGGAAATTTTAGGGCATGAGAAGAGGCAGTGGTTCTCAGATTCTTGAGAAAGTAGGCAAATAGGACATCTTGTCACAAGTTGAAATTTGAAGCGAGTGAGTTGTTCTGGGAAAGGTAGTGACTGGGTGATGTATTTCCAAAGGAAAATTTTAATGTTAAGTTTGTTTTTTGAGGTCTAAATCTGAGTTTGACTGAATGTGGATGGGTTTGGTGGTCTGATTTGCTGGTACGCAGTTGTAAGGGTGAACTGGCCATCAGGGGAGGGATTCCATGTAAGGGTATTGTCGGTTAGCGTGGTAAGGCTTGCCCTCAAAGGATGAATTGAGCAGATTGTTTTCCAAGTTTGAGAATCTTTTGGCTTAGACTACATGTCTCTAGCATTGTATCTTTGTTTCATGTGTTCTGCCCACATAGACTTCCCCTTTTGAAAGGACCACCACATTTTGAGGTGTAGTGTTTTTTGAGTGTGATGAAGGGATCTGGTACGGTGTTTAATCCTCGTTCTGCTCCCGGAGTACAAATTTTTTTCCAACTAACCCAGTGGTACTTGGTTTTATCATCCTTGTATCCCCAGAAAAAGTTTGCCATATGCTTGTGGATTATGGTAATGATTTTTTGTGGGATGGTAGAAATAGCCATGTAGTGTAGGAGAATGGCAGAGAATACGCATAAGAACCACTACTGTTCCAATCAACCGTTGTGTGCGCATAAGAAGGGCGAGACTCAAATGATGGAAATGCATGATGCAATGATGAATCTGTAAATGTGGAAATATATGCATCCGGCGGTGTGGAGTAATGATGAGAGCCATCATATGGTGGTGGGTAAAAAAATGGAGAATCTTGATGCGAAGAGAATTGAGTGGATGATTGGTGTTCCTCGCCCCGAACTTGATCTCCATCTACATCATCCTATGATGTAGATGGAGATAAGAGCCATCATATGGGGGTGGGTAAAAAAATGGAGAATCTTGATGCGAAGAGAATTGAGTGGACGGTTGGTGTTCCTCGCCCCGACCTTGATCTCCATCTACATCATCCTCTTCCTCATCGCCATGTACTCCTACATTTCTCTCATCATCATTCTCGTTTGGGGGTTGTTCCTCCGACCATATACTGATGATGTTCCCTCTCCGGTATTGCGAAACATAGGAGTTTAACTTGTTGGAGCTTCGGGGAACGTCAAATTTTGAGGCGGGGCCGCTATAGCTTCCACGTAAATGTGCAACTCTTGGTACTCATTTTTAGCGATGCGGAAAAAATGATTCCATGACTTCTCATTGTGAATGTGAAATAGTCTAGAAGCAACATATACCGAATTCTTATATCACTACTAGAAAAAAGGTTATTTGCTGCGGTTATTTTGAGTTATTTGCTGCGGTTCTGAACCGCAGCAATTGGAGGAGCAGCAAAATCTGAATTTAGTTATTTGCTGCGGTCAACAACCGCAGCAAATATGCATGTCTATTTTTTGGCAATTACTTTTAGCGGCGGTTCATAGGCAACCGCAGCAAATAGCCTCATAAATTTTACTAGTTTATTGCAACGGTTTGTGCCCAACCGCAGCTAAATCTATATATATCGGATGCTGGATTTTTTTTATATCCGAATGGAGCATTTAATATATATTTCAAAACTCAAAAGCCTAGACTTTCAAGTTAAAGCACTTCCATTAATCCACAATACATTCAAAAAGACTACGAACTACCAGTGTTCTAGAAATTAATCCACAATACATTAAAAAAGAATATGATATACCAGTATTCTACAAATTAAATTATATCAAGAGACTAAACAAACAAGTAGAAAGAACATATTGAGCTAGCTGATCATAAACATAACTTAACTAGAAATGAACATCAGAACCTCTGGTGCTTGCATTTAGGAGGAAGACCGTTTGTGAACTTCCGTTGCACCCATTGGAGCTTGTTTATGCTCTTGGCATCAAGATCTTGACTCTACAAATCCTGGACGCCATTGATTGACTGTGTCAAACTGCAACTCGATGACTGACAATATCAGAAACAAGCATTGGCGTTGAAGTCTATGTATGACGCCGAAAATAGAGCCTTTAAACAGTCTGTTTTGTCCAGCCCGCCCTGCGTTGCTCGATCATCTGCATTCATCGGGCTAGCGTAAACCTTCATCAACTGATTATTTAGGAACGGCACACCCATCACTTTGTTGTTGGTGAACACTCTTATCAGAATGTTATCCATAGAGAATCTGCAAGAATCTCTCAAGAACTTGAAATCAATCTCATCATGCATGTTTCCAAGAGACGGTAACTGCATGTTTCATCAAGATTTCCATTCATAAAAAATCCAAATAAACTAAAGTTAATTAAATGAAATTAATAATCAGCAAGAAAAAGAAATGCAAGTAGGATAGGATCAAAGAGTGTGCATAAAAGGCGGTGACGGTTCTGGCAATTAAATTAAAGAATCAAATCCAAAGTCTTGTGAAGCAACTACCGAAGAATACACATCAATAAAAAAACTAAAATAAGTAAAAATCAAATTTACGTAAAAGATATACTCAAATACTTACCCCAAAATGCTGCAATTGTACTATTGAAGAAACACATACGTATAAGGCGTATAAGGTTCATCTCTTCTGGTGCTCTAATAAACCTAAAATACTAAAAAGCACATAATTAGAGAAATACATATGCATAATAAAAAATTATACAATGGTTACACATGCACACACATTTAAAACTTATGAAATCAATAAGTCAACTTACTATTCTAAATTACAAAGTTGTACTTAAATTAATACATAATTAACACACAGAGTATATACTATACAATATCGTCTAATTTTGACTTAACCAGCTTCTTTACTTGTATAGGAGTGTTTCCATAAGCACTTGTTTAAGTTTTTGAGTACTTAATACTCTGGCGTAACATGTTTTTGTCTTTCTTATATGTCCCAAAATTTAATCTACTGTCTACAAATAAATATCAATTGCTTTTTTAGTTTTCCCACTTAGACTATGTACTTTTTACCTTGGCATATGGAGGGCACATGTAAAATTAAAACTATATATGTATTACAACAACACTTGTCAAGCTGTCGAAAACAAGCTCCCATATGCAGAAGAAATTCCAGCAACGAAATAATCAATAAAAAATAAGAATAAGAGAGCTCAATGCATTTTCTAAAAAGATATAGTGATACATACCTTTAAAAACATTAATACGGAGTACTTCGTATAGAAAATTATGAAAATTGGGAATCGAACATTTTTATCAATATGATTAAAGTCAATAATACATTAATATAACCTGAAACAGGGAATCAACTAAGTTCATTTCTGGGTATTTCCACTTCAAGAGACCCTCATGTGTTCGTGGAACATACGAATCATCCCAACCCTGGCACAGAGATAAGTGTCTCATTACAACAAGACAATGAAAGAGTAAAACAAAAGGAAGCAAGAATTGAAGGATGGTGTCTCATGAAAGTTACTAAAATAGTCATATCTAAAAGTAGCAAGAGCCCATATGGGATGCCTTCGAATAGGTAAAAGCACTTTTGTCAAATTTCAAAAATAATATATTCATATTTCTGCTGGAAAAATGAATAGAAAATCATCAAATGTTATCCTTTACAGAGTTAGAATCACTTGTGTCATGGTAAAAAGAAATAAAATGATACAGCAGTTTTTAGAAAAGAACATATTCATAAATTTCTCTTTAACATTCCCACTGTTAAAAAAACAATCTTTTTCATAATGTGATCTAGTTCAGATGCATCATTTAAGAGATTGTATATCCCTAAAACCTGAAAAAAGAGACCATCACCTGCAGTGAAACCATGCTAGAATTATTTCCAATAGTATACCATCACGTAGACGTCATTAGCAAAACAAAACCAGAGAATAAAACTTATTAACATGAGCAATGTTCATTCATTATGCTTGACCAGCTTACCTCTTTAATTCATTATATTACCTCTTTAATATAGTCTGATACTTTCCTTGCAACACCTTTTCTGTGCTTTGTTTGCTGATCTTTAGTCAGACCCTTCCTTTAGCCGCTGACACCTGTTGGGGCACTAACACACCAATAGCTCTAACAATGGAAGGAAAAAAAAGCAAGTTCAAGCCCTTAAGACAACAAAAGCATTCATTCGTGATCAGGAAAATAATGAAAACAATGAACACATGTTATGATAAAAATTGGTGTGAAATTGAAGTATTTGAAGCATAACTTCCAAAATAGTTGGGAAAATATAAACCCTCGGCAAATGAAGACAATAGAAATGGAAATAAGCCAGAAAACATGTTTATCGTCCTTTCCAAAAACGCTTAAACATGACTAGCTCCAAGTCAATTATAATAATATTACTCTAACCTTTACTAAAAAACTTAAAGCATCACATTATACTACTACTAGGTGAATAAGATAATTCTTCTTATGTAATATGTATACATAATTGTTCCAACATAAGTGTAAAGCTCAACTTCTAAATTCGATGAATACAAATGAAACTTACTTAAATTACATAAAAGTACATGGATCCAAATCCATAACAAAGAAGTAAACCTGCACACATTCAAACATATGTGATGGTACTAAGTCGCATAAGTTCAATCCCGCCAATTGACAAGTCTAACTATGCTCTCTACCAATTGACATGGCAATATGGCATAGGCTATAAATAAACTAATACGAGTACGGTAGTACATGATAGGTTTTTTAATATAGACTTATATGAGTTTTTACTAAAATATTACAGAATACTTAAATACTACCTAAAAGTATGGAGTATAAAAATATAACCTTCTCCATAAACATAAAAGTATGTCTATATTTATTAGTTCAACTTACACACAATGATTTGAAAAAACAAAACATACTCATCAATTTCATCCAAACACAAGTATCAATACTAATCAATCTCTCCAAAAAAAATACAAATCCAATGAATTCATACAAATACTAATCTCCAACAAATTTGATAAAATTCAATAAATTAAAAAAAGATGTAAAAATATTAGGTTCGAAACTGAACCTCTATTGAGCCAATATGAGCCGGCAAAGGACTTTACTAGGAGGGGGGCGTTCGACGTCTACATCTGGGATGGGCGGCGTTCGGAGGATGCGGTTGGGAGGGGCAGCATTCGGCGGATGCGGCTTGGAGGGGTGACGTGCGGAGGCAGCGGCGGGAGTGGCGTCGTGCGGAGGCAGCGGCGGGAGTGGCGTCGTGCGGAGGCAGCGGCTAGAGGGGCGGCGTGCGGAGGCAGCGGCTGGAGGGGCGGCGTGCGGAGGTAGCGGCTGGAGTGGCGTCGTGCGGAGGTAGCGGCTGGAGGGGCTAACGATCGACGGGAGCAGGCGCTGCTGCGAACTGGAACCTTACGAGCGGATCTGGAGGTTGTGAACGCATCTAGGGTGAGCAAACAAAGTTATCTGGTTTTGTAGGACTTGTGCTGCGGTAGTTGTACACCAACATCTAAAAGTAATTAAATTTAAATATTAAATGCTAATTGATGCGGCTCCATTGAGACCGCAGCAAATAATCTACAAAATTTCGAAGTAAATGTTGCGGTTCATCTTTAACCGCCGCAAAAAGTCTTAATTACTAACAATTTGCTGCGGATATGTCTACGACCGCAGCAAAAGGGCAGCAGCAAATGACAAAAATTCTAGTAGTGTATTTCGGCAATGTTCCGTAAATTAATTTAATTTCGGAAAATCCTCACGTCTAACATGGTTTAGAACATCCTCATGTATGGTGGTAAAATCATCTCCTTCACTAACAAATAGTACCGCCCTAGGAGGTATGGAGTACTCTATTTCATCATCTTTTTGAAATGTAGAGCCTTTCCAATGTACCATAACAACAGTATCACTCTCACAAGACATTTCTATATATAGTATATATTGTAAATATTTTAAGAGAGGAGAATGCCTAAAAAGAAAATATAATGAATATATAAGAGAGCAAGATGTGTTTTTGGAGTGTGTTAAAATTTTTGAGAACAAATGAATGCATTTTATAGGAGGGATTAGGGCAAAAGATTGGTGAAAAACAAGACCAGAAAGGAAACACATGTATAAGAAAAAAATCGTCCTTTCAATAATAAAGCAATATACGAAGTATTATACGTCCTTTCACATTGTTTCAGCTAGGGGTGGGCAAACGAGTACTGGAACCGCGGGTCGGGCCGGGTAATACAGGTTCGGGGCTGGTTAGGGTCGGGTCTTAATGTTAGAAAATCCAAACGGTTCGGGGCGGGGCGGGTCCTGAAAAACTTAGGAACCGAACAGTTCTTAAAATTTGAAAAAACGGGTACCCGAACCGAACCGTTTTAAAATATTATTTTAATAGTCTCTAAAATATTTAATACTAGTATAATATAATATACTAACAATACACGAAAGCTCTTCATGCTCTTGTGTTTAGACAAAGACTTCCAATTAAAGAAACTTCTCAGTCTATTAAAACTAGTTTCCAAGTCCGTATAATTAAACTCCTAAACTATTTTCCTTTATTCTCTATTCCAAATGCATCAAACTTTCTTTCTTGAATATTTTTTGTAAACAAAGACTTTTACTCAATGTGTGACATATTAATTTAATTGTCTTAATTTTACTTATACGTGGAGATTTAACATGTTTTAGATTGTTTTCATAGACAAATATGTATATTAACTAGTTTTTTTCTTATGAATTTGTGGTCGTATACTCCTATCTTTTTAATTGGTTTATGAATGATGATTACCATTTTAATTAAGTTGATTGTGTGTTGTTTAATTTATAGATTTGGTGGTTCGATATTTTGTTAACTAATTTAATATGTTGTCTTATTCTTTTAATTTGAATAAGGATGTTTTTACTTGGACTGTAATTTGCTCCAGATCAGACCATACCAGACTTGGATAGTTATAAAAATACAAAGAAATCAGACCAGACCAGACCAGTTCAGATCAGACCAGACCATATCAGACCAGACCAGCAAATTACAGTCCAAGTAAAAACATCCTAAATACTATATTATGTTTACATTAATATGTAATAAATTTGAGAATTTTATAACTTACTAGAAACTTTGCTTACATAGTCGTGTTTTTTTTTACAAAAAAAGGAATCGAGGACTCGGACCGAACCGGCCCGTTTCAAACGGGGTGGGTAAGGTTCGGTTCCTATTTTGAAAATCGGTATACCCGGACCGAACCTACCCGCTAAATGGAATCGACAGTTCTTGAAAATTTATCGATTACCCGAACCGATCCGGACCGTGTCCACCCCTAGTTTCAGCTTTATCACATTTATTTATAGATCAACCACTTTCAATAATTTTGAGAAAAATCTGATCAACTTTAACATTTTGTTTCCGTTTATGTGTATTTATTGAACTAATAAAATATTCCATATTACTATAGTTGGAAGAGCTAACTCCGATAGAAGGTTTTAAAAAAAAAAAAGGTTGTCGGAATCCCCAAATCCGACAGGGGTTGTGTTTTTATTTTACACAAAACCTCCGGAGACCCCACATCCGACTCTCGTTATTTCGTATACCTCCCGTATTTTTATCTGTCAGACACAAAAGGCCCGTAAATTCGTCATTTCCTCGTTTTTTGGAGCTTCAAATAAATAAATAAAACACTCTTATCCAAGTAAGAGAAGATTAAAAATCTTAGGTTGATTAATTAAATTCCTTCGACTTACTTCCACACTTCTACTATACCAATGCAACCAGATGTAATAATAATTTTAATGTGAGTCTTTATATATAAGTGTAATTGTGTAAATTATTATTGGGGTAAATAGTGTATTATGTCTTTTATATTGTACGTAGTACTACATAACTTTTTATTTTTCTTTCACTGTACTCTTTATATTTGCATTGTAATTTATATTGGTTAAAATTGTGACTAAATTTCATTACGAGAGCGGACATATATAGTCACAATAAAACTACGTTTTTTACTTTTTCATAGTGAGTATTTTATTATCATATGCCCACTCATTATGAAAATTTTATTTATATATGTGCTACTCCCTCTGTCTCCTATCTTTGTTCCATTTTACATTTTTTATCTGCTCCATTATATTTGTCTCATAATATATTTAGAGCCTGTTTGGTAGCACGAAAATCGGCTAATTTGGCTGATTCTGCTGAAATTTATGAAATTCTGGTTGAAGTGGCCGCATTGGCTGATTCTGCTGATGTAAGAAAAAATTATTTTTAAAATATATTTTATTAATAAAATAAAGAAAAAGTTATATGTAAAAATAGCTAAAATGATCATCTACAGCAACTTCAGCCGATACAGCCAGAAAAGTAATTCCAACCTTACTTTTTCTGCTTTTACACAATTCAGCGTGCAAAAGCCAAAATTACGTATTTGAAAAAAAATGGCTGATAAGTCTGATAAGTCGAAAAAGTGTTGCCAAACGGCCTCTTAGTAACATTTGGCGGTCGCAATCCATTTTTATTTTATTCACACTATCATTTCATTGTCGATCACACAAATCCACTTATCGTAATAACTATATAACTCACTTTTATCTCAATCTAAGGCGATCAAAGTAGTAATAACTACTCTGTATTCTATAACTCTGATTTTCAAAAGAAATAAGAGTCTCTTATTGGGCACTAGCTATCGTGCCTTGCGCGATAAGAAGCTAGTAGTCATAATAGATGCACTTCAAAATTTTAAAATAAAATTTGAACATCACGATTAAACATGATCATTCCAACCATCATTACATTTAAAATTATTATTATTATTAGGATATCATTTACTTAATCATAAAGAAAAAGTAAGATACACATCTTAAATAATACGGAGTAATATTTGTAATTATCCTTAAAATAATATTATTTTAATTAGAACTCCATAACATCAACTAAAATAATATTAGTAAGGATCAAATTGAACACTTGAGTCATATTTATCAATAAATTCCAAAAATCCTCCATTTATTGAGAAATAAATAACACTCAATTCTTGCCAAATAGACACTTATCAAGATTTATGCATAATGAAAGTGTCGTAAAGATTGAACTTTCATTTAGTCCAATATTCTTTACAATATCTCGGATCATAATAGTAGACTCAGCTTTGAACTATGTAACCTCTTTGAAATATTGAAGATATTACACACATAAATCTTTATACAATTTCACTTAGAAACTTGACACAATTAACGGCCTTGTGTCCATATCCATTCATGAGCTCCAACAAGTAAAGCTTTAAACTTGGTGAATCGGTCGCAATTCTAGCTCACATAGGTAGGTATTTTCAATTTGTGTTCTGCAATAAAACACTTTTATCAAAATATCTATTAAGACATAGTCAACCTCATTACACATTGCAGTCTCAAGCACTTACCTCGGGATGGTTATTATTCAAAAGTGCTTCAATCACGAAGTGACTTACTTATTGTCATTGAACTCAAAATCTAGCGTTGTACTGGACGTTGAGTTGGGCTTTCTTTCACGTGTGATTATTTTCCAAGGGCTTTAATCACATCCCTTTTGCAGTTTTGTACACCATGTCCCTTGGTATCGCCTTTGTAAAAGGATCCGCCAAATTCACATGTGATCGTACAAAATCAATCACAACAACTCCAGAACTAATAAGTTCCCGCACATAGTTGTGTCTCACTCCTATGTGTCTTGACTTGTACACATGGTTATAAGCTTTTGACAGGGTTGATGCACTATCACAATGGATTGATATAGGAGCCACATGTTTAGGCCATATTGGAATTTCTGACACCAAGTCCTTTAGCCATTCCGCTTCTTTACAAGTTGATGCTAAAGCTATAAACTCTGAAGCCATGGTAGAGTCAGTGATACAAGTTTGTTTCTTAGATGCCCATGAGATAGCACCTCCTCCAAGAAGGAATAACCACCCACTTGTGGATGAATAATCCTCTTGATTAGTTATCCAACTTGCATCCGTATAACCTTCTAATATAGAGGGTTCACTCTTGTAACATAAGCCGAAGCTCATTGTTTTCTTTAGATATTTCAGCACTCGTCTCAAGGCTTGCCAATGAAATATACTAGGGTTACCAGTATATCTATGTAGCTTGCCTACTGCAAATGCAATATCTGGTCGGGTGCTA